ACACACACACACACACACACACACACACACACACACACACACACACACTATTGCCTTGAGAAAGAGTTGAGTGGTACTCGGGTAGGAATAATTATAGATGGCGTTGAATTTCCTGCTCTCCACCGTGTGCAAACAGTGTTTAGCCAAGAGGGTTTGCTTGCATCACATGTTTACACCATGGCACGAGTTGGTAGCAGGGTCACATTACTGTAGTGTGTAATGTGAGGCTAACGGAGCACTAGCGTCTACGGACATTGTTTTTGTTTTTAAAACAAAAAAAACGATCCCACAAGCGTTTTGGCACCGTTGTGTACATGACGATTCAGGAAAAGCAGATTGTTTACTCTGCTGTTGGTTGCTTAGTTTCAGATAATATTGAATATTATTGTACTTCTTATAATAAAACGTCTTGTTGTCTCTCTCTCTCTCTATCATGCACAAACAAATGTGGTTTTGTTGTTGTCGTACTGGAAAGCAGCATTTATGCTTTGTGTGTTAACCGTTTCACCTCTTTCATGCACAAGCAGCCTGTTTCTATATATTTTTTTTATCTTTCATAGAAGTGGATGGGAATAGAAGCTGCTTCCAGGAGGTTTCAGTATCATTTCACATACTCACATTGGGGAAGGGATATACTCGCTCTCCTCTAGTTCTCCACAAGCTTTGCAAACTGGTGAAGGCTTCGTGTAGCACATCATGAGCTCAGAGAGAGACTAGCAGGACGTGAACTTTGTATGCATGAGTGTTTGCCTGCGGATATGTATTCTGCATATTAATGTGAATGCATGAATGCATGAAACACTGCTCTCCCCAATACCTGGAGCTATTGTAATTGAATAACCTTACCTGAGCTGTCAAGTTAAAGTCAGAATCAATGTGAAGGGTGACGTGAGGCAAAAGAAGAACAATGGATGGCAAAATCTCACCTGTAGAGATACAGATGGGGGACAAATGGAAGGAAACATTTTTTTGGGGAACTTGGCGCATGTCTGGGGATTATACAAAGAAGCTCAATTCGTTTTGAGACGCTTTAGAAACAAGGTGGTCTTAAAAAGTATATATTTTGCAGCCAAATCAAATTGTTTACAGGATATTCAACCTTTATTTCTTCATAATGCACGTAAGACTTGACCTGTTTCCTTACAGGTGTTGTAAAAAGGCAATAAAGTAGTCCGCGAATATGAGATATGAGTTTACAGATAACTACAATCCCTCCTCGTCATTGTGGTTGTTGTTTTCGTCTTTTTTTTTGCCGGTTACACCTACAGTCTCTGGGCATAGCTACGGGCGTTTCGGAGAATAATGCAGCGCAGCGCACAGCCCATCGAGTATAAACGCCTCCGTTCATGCTCGGAGCTCTCGCGCCACCTGCGGAGGCCCGCGCTACGGCGCCAAGCACGAGTATAAACAAAGCTTTACTTGCCATCGATCCTGCATGTCGCTGAGCTCTACTAGAGGTTTTGATGCTGGTGGAGAGCGCTTTGATTCAAAATCTGCTGTAGGTGTTAAATCTGGTGTCTACGAAGGCCTTGGCATCATCTTATCCTTTTAATACTCAGTGACCTTTACACTTTGTATGGAAGCATCTGCATCTGTTATTTATCTTTTATATTTAGGTTATTTTTCTGATTGGTCACCTGTCTGGGAAGGAAACATGGAAAGTGACGAGCAAGAATAGAGAAAGAAAAGAAGGGTGGAGAGAGGGAGAGAAGCAAATAAAGAAATGTAAAGCTGTGTGGGTTGATGGTACAAGGAGAATGATTTAACGTTGTTTAAGTGAAGCTAGTGAAGGCCTTGTACATTCCTCCACTGTAGAGAGAGAGGAGGAGAGAGAGAGAATGCTGCAAGGAGAGAAAGACAATATGATGTGACACTGTAGGAGTTGGTTCAGGAGGGAGGAGGGAGGAGGGGTAAAGCTATCTTGTAGGTGTTATCAGGTTAAGCCACCCACCAGTGGCTGTCGCCATGGTGACACCATGGTAACGACTGGGTGATCAACCAGGAGACCTCGCTTTATGTAAAGGTGCTTCCTGTCTTCATCCGTCTCATTCAGGGTCCGTCTGGAGTACCGTCTGTCTTCAGATTGAATCACTCACATTTCCCATTCGGTCAGTCACTCACCAGCATCTCATCTGTGTAGTTAAGACTCTCCCTATCATTTGTTGTGCTTTTTATGGCCCAGAATATTCAGCAAACACATAAAAAGCTCAAAACGTATATCGAGTTCACCTGATCTCTTCGAAGCGGCTTTACTCGTGTAAATGAACGTTTGTTGGGTCAATGTTGAGGTCAGCTGCGTCTCTTTTCCCTTCCGCTGTATGAGTTCATATACGTTTCTCTGTATGGCTCTTCCATTTTTAACCCTGTAAGCTGATTTGCTAACATGCTTACAGAGATGTCTGTTTCAATCCGTCCGCGTAACAGACGCCCGGCACATGGAAACACACTAGAAACAATGACACACGTGCTTGTGCCATGCATGCACTGCAGGCTAGACACACAAATATAGGAAGTCAAACACACACCACAGACCTTTGCTCTGGCTCTTAAAGGCACACTGTACTGCTGCTAAACGCACACGCCACGCCAGTCAAGAGACAACCTCCAATCTGCATCCGAATGCCAGGCAATTGATTTGCAAATGAACGGTTTTGAATGCGAACAACAACCGGTTGTCGGTTCTCTTCTGTATTTGGGTCAGTGAATGAAAGTGGTGACGCACTTCATTGTGTGGTTGATTATTGTCATGATGTGGACGACCAGTGATTTGAATCATTTGCAAATTCAGACGCCGTTGATACTCGTCTCATTGTCCTGACGTCTAATGGTCAAGTCGCTGCTCATTGTTTGTTCACAATATTTAATTTTTTTTTTTGATTTTTACTATTTTTACTATTTAGTCATTTGTTGTTTTACTTGGCTGTCACCACTGACTACTGGGATAAGCGATCCGAGGCAGGTTGCATATTTTAACGGCCTGCAGTGTTAGAAAGATACCCACAAATTATGATCAACGTTATCCTTATGCCTGCTAACCAGAAGGTTTTAATCGTGCACTCATTTCCCAGGAAATTAACCTTGAAATGCAGTACAAAATAAAACAAATTGCAATGAAGATGTATTTGGAAAATGAAGAAAACCATCTAGTTGTCGATACATGTATAGTGCCTCTAATTTGCTGTTAAATGAGTAAATCATCTGCATCATGAGTGGTGAAGGTGAGATGGTGACAACCGTGACGGAGTTGTGAACCAGAGACAAAGACACGGAGAAGCTAGAGGGACGAGAGAAAAGTGAGCAGGAAGTTGGAGAGACAGATGGGGAGTTAATCCTGCGGAAGGACACTCCTCAGGGTCCTCATATCCTTCTCCTGTTTCCTATTAAATAACTTGTGTGCTTTCTGAGTTTCACTGTGCTAAATGTGACACGTGACGGTTGCTTGTGTCTCATATGAAGCTCTGACAGACATGTCTTTGTGTTGCAGATAAACCTGCGGCTTATTTTAGTCAGCGGGAAGACGAAAGAATTCCTCTTCTCTCCCAACGAGTCGGCAGCGGACATTGCCAAACACGTCTATGACAACTGGCCGATGGGTGAGTAGCTCCATTTAGATACCTCAATGATTCTCCCTGGCAATGGCAGCCGATGAATGATGTAGCAATGGTTACATAGTGGAGCCAATTAAATCATCCTGAGGTGATCCAGACATTTCTTTTTCTTCATGCGACTTATCTTGTCTGTTTCTATAGCTAAAGCTAACGGCAGCCGAGGGGCTGCACGTTGCATCCAGAGAGCTGCAATCCCATTCAAACACACTGCTAATTACTTGCGTGTAGCTCTATATAGCAGTGTGGTAAACATGCCAATCTTTGGTGTAGGGTAATTAGAGTGCGCTCCTCCTTTCAGCTTGATTGTCATTGCGTACAGGAACGTGGGATCGCAGTACAGCCGCCTCCTCTCTGTAACACACCCACTTCCTAGCCGTGCTAGAATTCGTTCGATACTGCCGACCTTCCAGCACCTTCAAATGTGCTTTTCCAACGGTGCTGTGAATCTAGTCCAGGATTTGGAGAAGCCCACAGCCATGAAAAACCATAAATTACACTGATGGACTCATGAGTGAAAAAGGAAAACTCGAGGAGAATCTGTTGGTTTCTCCAAGACAGCAGAACTCCTGAACACGCCCCCAGACAGCAGATCTGAACCCTGTGAGACCCGGAGCAGGCTCTCAGTCAGCACCAACATCCTCCGCTTAGCTGGAGACAAACATCTGGTCACCAGACGCTGCTGCTGTGCAATTTAGTCTCTTAACAGTGAAATTCTTCCATTTCTAAATCACACAACGAGAGTCTGGAATGCTCAAAAAGAAACAGATTTTGTACATCGTGTTTTTTAAAGAATATTCAACACAGTTTATAGATAACATATTATACAATGATAGTACTTTATGGGAAAATGGAGATAAGCAGGAACTGGTAAATATATGAAGCTTGTCCTCTGTCTTGCTCCACGTCGTTGTTTCTATTTAACTCCCCCTTTTTTTCCTTTCAGACTGGGAGGAAGAGCAGGTCAGCAGTCCTAACATCCTGAGGCTGATCTACCAGGGCCGCTTTCTACACGGCAACGTAACACTAGGAGGTGAGAAAACACAGAAAGTACACCTCCCAACAAGAAAAACAAGCCTCGTGTGCTCATAGACATGCACACAAAAATCACAGCAGTGTGTTGCTGGAAAGTTCTTTGCTGGTCTCATCTGTTTCTTCCCCCCGAGCAGCAGAACAGAGGTACCTCAGTGCTCCGGACAAGTCTGCTTTGACGGAGAGAGGGAGGAGAGAGGAAATACAGAAAAAGAGGGGCGAGGGAGGGAGAGAGAGAGATTGGTCAGGATAGGGGCCAGACTGGCGTTAGTTTAGACCTCAAGCAGCACAAAGAAGAGACGAGAAGAGAGGGGGGGTGTGAAGAGAAAAAAAGGGGAATGGCAACCCACTTCACTTCTCCTTGCCTTTTAGGCTTTTTGAGTCTACTTAACCCACTTTTGATCTGACAGGTGTTTTGTAATAATGGGGTTAAGGCCGTCCCTAACCCTGTTACACTCGTCCCAATCACTGCCATCTATCTGATAATTCTCTTATCTTTGGTTCAACGTGTTTGCACGCTGACATAGAATCCTCTTAAAGCCGAGCCAAAAACCCCCAGGTGGTTTTGAAACGCAAACATAGACACCACACACGTGTGAAGGCGCGATTGAACACGTGATTGATGAGCAAGTTTTGGGGAGTTGCAAACTAATATTAACTACAATTTAGTGTCTGGATCAAGGTTTTTCTATTTATTTATTTTAATCTAGCAGCTTTCTTGTTGTATTCTTTCCAAGAAATATCAGAGTAGGACTAGTGCTACTTTTTACATTACAAAGTATATGCGTAATATATGAGCAGAATGCGTTTCTCTTATCTTTCTGGCCGCCGTTGATTTACATTAATTTGGGGATAAAAATCAACTGCTGTGCTCGATTATGTTTTTGTCAAATTAACATTATTTTTGCATAGTAACAGAGTTTAAAGCTTCGGTTGAAATAGGATATTTCTGATATCGATATCGTTCAGAATACATGAAACATCTGTAACGTTCAAAGCAAATGCTGCGTTCCCATTTGAGCTCCGACTCTTCCTGTTGACAAAGGGATCTGTCAATAACTGATTCTGACAGGCATTGATTTGGACAACATAAATAACATATGATCACGTCATCCAAACACATATTGATTTATCTTCCTGTCCTGTTTCGTTTCTATTAAGAGCTTGCTGAGTTATTTTTAGGATGATTACATTTCAGGGCCTTTCCTTACCTGCAAAGAGATAATTATTCTGCAAAGAAATGACCTGAGCCATAGTTTATTGTTTGGTAAATGACTTTGTAAAGACAGATATGCTGATTCTCACTGAATAACCTTTGCAT